CAGACTGGCTATTTATGCCTGGTGACCCGCAGGCATTGCTGCTCTACTGTAACATACAGAGCTGGTACAACCATCCGGTTCTGTAAACACACACACACACACACACACACTCACAAGCTGCATCTAATGGCACTGCATGAATGTTAACAGCCTCTTAATTGGTAATAGTTACTGTATGAAATCTTCTCCCAAGTCTGTGTGATGCTGATCATTTTGTAAATAAACTGACAATAGTTATTTCATGTTTTAAATTGTCACAGATTGACTCTATTAATAAAAATGAAGGACTTCCACTGTAATGATCAGTCTCCTCTTGCAGCCACTATGTATTGAACGTGTGATTTCATTCCTTCAGCTCCCAGACTGACCGGAGATTAGCTGGTGCAGCTACCAGAGCAGGATGTCAATATGGCTGCTCAGCTGCTCGTTCCACCCGGACCTGACAGCTTCCGGCGCTTCTTGCCTGAGTCTCTCGCTGCTATCGAGCACCGCATCGCAGAGGAGGCGGCCCAACGGCCCAAAGGCGGAAGACGACCTGATGATGATGATGAAAACGGGCCCAAACCCAACAGCGATTTGGAGGCGGGAAAATCCCTGCCCTTCATCTACGGAGACATTCCACCCGAATTGGTGTCCGTCCCGCTGGAAGACCTGGACACCTACTACAGCAACCAAAAAGTATGTGTGAGAAGATTTTTAAAATGAAAGCTTCTTATTTGTGTTTAGACTGCCAGCAGGACTTCAGTCTGTTGTTGTAACGTGTATCACTCTCTGTAGTTATGTAACGCCTTGTGAAACAGATTTGAAAAGAGATTGTTGCAGATTGTGTCCACTGTAACCACAATCCAGTTTTCTCTGCTTCAGACCTTTATAGTATTGAATCGTGGGAAGACTATATTCCGCTTTAATGCTACGCCGGCTTTGTATATTTTGAGCCCCTTCAATCCATTGAGGAGAATCTCCATCAAGGTCCTGGTGCATTCATATCCTTTATCAGCTGAATGTATGTATGTAAGCATCTAAACAAGGTATAGATTAGTCTCGCATAGCCAGACTTTTTACTTGCAACATATATTCTGGTCCACATTCATCTTATTTTATTAGAACACTTAGAAAGGAACCAACATCTGACAATCTGACCAAAATACATACTGTATAACATTCAAAAGTTTGGGCTGATGAAAATTTTTTTTTATGTGATAAAAAATACAGTAAAATATTAGTATTGTGAAATATCATTACAATTTAAAATAACCGTTTCTGTTTTTATGTATTTTATTTATGTAATTTATTCCTGTGTTGGCAAAACTGAATTTTCAGAAGCTGTTATTCCAGTTTTTAATGTCACATGATCTTTCAGAAATCATTCTAATATGCTGATTTGG